CATTTACATTTTTTCTTTCATTTGGTGGGGTTCCAACTGCAGTCTTTTGCACGGTCGACCCTTATTAGTCGAGCAAAAGCAATTTCTGTACATCTGGCGCTCGCCAGAGTACTTCTTTTAACTCTTTTCCCTTAACTCGTGTGGAGGGTCAATGAAATTAAGGGGGGTCGGAAGCTCTATCCGTGCCCTTAAAAACACATCCTCAAGTAGGCAAACCGTTCAACGGGTGGAAGTTTTACTTGTACTAGAGACAGCTTAGCTTCACCTTGTAGGAGTACCCCACTAAGGATCACTAAAATCTCCTCCAAAACCCGAATTTGTGCAATGAACGGTGCCACACACGTTGGGCTTACCCCATGTTTAAGATTTTTGATGATTTCGACATGGAGGACCAACTGCTTTTCATTTCCCACATGAGCACCTTGTTCAATACACAAGTCCATAACACAATTCAAACAGAGTCCACATTATCACATGAATTCAACGGTCTTAGCTCCACTAATTCACAAAATCAACTTACACACCAGAGAGCTAGATAGGAAAAATCTTATACTTCAACATCCTCCATAGTGCTACACTACCTCCCTAGGTTGGACATTACTACAGAGACTGTCAATTCAAAGCATACTGAGCAGACAATTTGCATGGAGACACGTACTTGGAGCCCTCAAATTTAAAAATTTGGACAGTGAACTAGGCTCCAAGCACACAAACAGCCAAACATTCACCCGCATACATAATCGAACACCCCCCACACTTAAGCACGACATTGTCCTCAATAGAGGAAAGATAAGGAGGGTAGAACGAAGTTACCAGATCAAGGGTGAATGATGGTGGATGGGGCAGGCGGTGCATTCTAGGAGGAGAGCGTAGTCGGAACACAAACACCCCACAAAATCTCACAAAGGTTGAGTTATTGACTCTAAAATCAAAGAACAAAACTGACTCAACCGAGGAGAAATAGAGAAAGAAATGCAAACCGACTGGTTGGGTTGCCTCCCAACAAGCGCTTCTTTCACGTCGGGAGCCGGACGATGGCTCCTAAATTTCGGTCCACCCCAGAACCTCTTTGAAGTTGAGGTTCTCGTCGATGAGGTGGAGTCTCAAGTCACGAGCATGTGGTGTGGCAGGTGATGAAGGCTCATGCACTTGATGCAGATGAAGTCTCCACCCTCGAGACCTCTTCTTCTCTTCTCTCGTCTCATTGCCCCCAAACCAGATATGACAGCATCGATTGGCCACCATCACGTCCACCAAGAGGGACCGATGTCGATGTGGCCTTGGTCTGGCAAAGAGACACTGCAAATGGGTCCTTGCTAAGTAGTTCCTCGAAGTTTGGTGGAGATATCAAATGTAACTCATGGCTGGTGCAGGCCTCTTCCACCTCAACTCCGTCCTCAGCCTGGACACCAATTTCTTCTTCAACCCCCCTTTCTTCTTCATGTGGTATCACCCCTGGGAAATGATCAAGAACTCCTTCTGCTTCACTTTCGTCATCCTCCACAACTTCTTTCTGCACCCTTTCTTGCTCTTCTTCTTCTAGCACGGATTGGAGAGCAAGTTGCCAAGCAATTTCTTTCATGAGATCTTCTTGCATCTCCTCACTCATGCCCACCTCTTCAAAGCTCGGTGTGGGATGTGGGAAGGGGTGGTCGGCTACGACAGGACATTCTTGATCGTGATCTTCACGGGAGCTCTCCGTGATAACTTCTGTTTGCTCCACAATGTCCTTGTAGCCTTCTACTTCCTCCTCCTCCTCCTCTAGTATGGTAGCAGAAGGGTGATCTGGAGTAGGTTGTGCACAAGATCGTTCAAGATCATCGACGCTCTTCTTAAGGCTCAGGAGGATCTCCTCTGTTTCACGATAGGCCTGAGTACAAAGATCCATCCTGGCACATGATCTCTCACTGTCTCGAGCAAACTGCTCAATGAGAAGCCTCAATTCACAGTTTGGATCTGGCTGTGGAGTGTAGCATGGCTCTGGAGAATGGCCCGTGAAGGCCGCCATGGGTAACTCCAGCTCCGATAGCCCTTCTGGTTGTGGGAGAAATTCTTCTTGGTAATGAGGTTGTTCTTGATATGCCCAGGGGTCCGGTTGTTCTCCGTAGTAAGGGGGTTGGTACTGGAACCCGAATCCATAGTCTTCTCCTCCTTGATTGCTCCAGGGAGTCTCAGGGTAATACCACACGGATGGTGGTGGATACCCCCAATGATTTGAGAAGCCATGAGGATCCATGATACAAATCTGCACCAACAGAAACAAAAACACCCAAGTGAAAAGCAAGGGTGGAAAAGAAAAGAAAAGAAAAAACGCTAAAGTAACAAACTTCTGCCTTTCCTAATAATCTAGAAAGTCCCCGGCAACGGCGCCAAAAACTTGACACGCTAAAACACAACACCTAACAATGGCCAAGTGTAACCAATGAAAGGGACTGCAGTATAGTGGCACAAGTAATAAATATCGAATCCACGGGTCTCTAGAGTTACTATTACTCAGCTTCAGTTCATTATCTAGCAAACTAGATTAAGGATTGATTTATAAACTACTCTACTTACTACTCTACTAATTATAAGTTGGGAACTCACTTAGGTATGATTCCCCCTAACTCCTCAATTAGGTCCAAGTTGCAATTACCTTTGGTTGATCTACTGTTGATTAAACTGCGGAAGATCCTAAATTAGCTTGGAATCTCTTAAGCTGACCAAGCCCTCTCAGTCCAACTACCCGGCAGACGACTAGTCTTCACCAGGATAGAAAGTTGAGGCTATGAACACAAAACTCCACCACTGGAATGAATTCCAGTACAAAGCAGTGAATTGATTGACTCTCGCACAACCAACTCACCACTATCAATCAAGGAAGCTCTCTTAACCTAATCAGATTCTATCTATCATAGGTTAAAGCAGAAATCAAGAGAATTTGATCAAGATTCAATTGACTCAATAAATCATGCCTCAATCGATTATAATCAAACAATATAGCATCCAAAACTTCATACAAGAAAGATCCTAACACATGGAACTAGGGTTCCTCAAAACCTAAGTGAAGGGAAGTTACTCCATAGAGAAGAGAGAGACTGCAGAAATCTGATCTAGATCTTCAATCTCCATCTCCAAGCTTGATTCCCGAGCTCCAATGGCGAAGAAATCCTCCAAAATAGCTCCAAGAATGTTCCCAAGTCGCTCTCTCTCTAGGGTTCGTCCCTTGGGTGTTTGGGAACCAAAACCCAGCTCCCCCTTTCCTTTGGCTCGAATCTGCCTAAAAAAACCCGATTCTGGGCGAATTACGGGCTGAATTACGGTCGTAATTCTTCCATGCCCGTATTTTGCCCAAAACACGCGTTTTGGTTATGTTTCAGCGCACCCAAAGATCCTCTCGGCAGTGAAATTACGGGCATGGGAGGCCAAATTACGGTCGTAATTCTCCTGCCCGTAATTCTTCCTCCTCTCCTGTTTAAAGCTTCGTTTCTCCCTCGTTCGGACTCCAAATCAGTCGCCGTTTGAACCCAGATGCTCGTAGTCTCATCCTCTTTCTTTTCATAACAAGCTTGCCTGATTATTTGTCCATAAAGTGAGGTAGAAATCCATTCTTCTTCAGGTCATGACCGAGTTTCTTCTCCCTAATCGCCAATTGATCTCTGATTGACTTGAAACTTGCGCCTATACTTCACTTTATGTGCTAGGGCCTGAAATGTGACAAAGGAACACAACCTAGCGTAAAATAGGCCAAATAAGCGATAATGCAAGCTTAAACGATCAAGAAACAAAGGGGAAAACATGTGCAAATATCGAGTCATCAGTGATCAAAATCTCCATCGAATCTGGGTATGCACACCTGTGCATAACCGCTGCTTCCTTCAATCATATTTCTCACACACCAAAATTTCTTCTTTGATTCCTCACTTTAATCTCTCGTATTTCCCAAATACCCACTCTGCAATTGCCTGCAGATTTCACTCACTCCTTGGTTACAGCTTGCGAATAGGTTCTGATACCACAATGAAAGCCTAAATTGAATTGCAATCTGACAATTTGTTTATTGAAGTGGAGAGGAATTAAATACAAGAAGCTTGGCCACAGAAATCGGCCATGGAAAAACTAACTGAACTACTCTCCTAAGAATCTGCAACAACTAAACCAAACAAAGCTAAAGATCAGCACTCTGTTTTGCTTGATCTGTTGTTCACAACGGATACTGACTAAACTAACACAACTAATGAAAACAGGTACCAAACAAGAATAAACCAAACAATGCAGTTTCATTAAACTTCAACCTTCATATAACGCCACTTCAATCCTTCTCCGCTAGGGATTCGGATTACTTCTTATTCTAGCTTCCAAACCAAGTCCAACATAAAGTACACGCCACTACGGTTAGCGTTCACCATTCGATTCAATGGTTGAACCCACAAATCTATCTGCAATCGTCCCACGCGTTATGTTGTTCGTGGTTCCAATGGGTGTGGATGTGAATTGTAAAACAGGTGACCTACTGATTGTCTGGGTGTGAGTGAGATGTGGTTGACACATGATTCACACTTAGCCTTTTAATCTCTGAATTGTTGTTTTAACTGAACTAAAACCATAAGAATCACAAAAAATTTCCCACAATTTATAAAAAGATTTCTCAAATCTCTAGTTATCCTTTCTTCTCTATTTTGAATGAATATCTTCTTAAAGTTATGATTATTGAGGATAATTATAAAGTCTATATCATTATTTTACGAGATCAACTATCACATTATATCATCCACTAGTGTCTATCCTCTTTTGTCCAGACATTCCTTAGCATTTTATGTAGCTCTTCTCCATTCAACCACACTTACCTCAATGAATAAAGGCTCTTATAAGAATAAGGAAAGTTATTACTTACTAGCTACTAACTAGAGTGCTTAGGATAGGAAGCAAGAAGAAGACGAGGGGGAAAAATACCCCTAGAAAATCTCATAACGAGAATCTTCACTAATTTATACATCTTGCCATTTGCTCCTCCCTTCCATTCAAGGTGCGACATCATACAAAACTGGAATCAAATCCAAATGAGGAGTCGTTTCCCTTGTGCGTGACGTTTTGAATCTTTCATTCATATCAATGCCTTTCGATGGAAGTTCGCATTGAAAGTGATAGAGCAAATTTGCTAGCGTCAGTTTAACAATCGTCAATACAAAAGAAATTCCGGGACATATCCTTCTTCCGGCACCAAATGGAATGAACTGGAAAAAGTTCCCGTTGTAGTCAGTTGAGCAGTCCAAGAATCTCTCAGGGTATAATTTCTCCGGCTCGACCCAATAACGAGGATCCCGATTAATTGCCCATGCATTCACAATGACTCTCTTGTTGGTTGGAACTTTAGGAAAAAGATAATATTATATATTAGTAAAGGAGACGAGAGTTTGAGTGTTGGATGATGTAAAATTTTAGAGGAAAATGTTCACATTTGTGAGTTACTGAGTTGTTAGCATTTTGTGTCATATGGTTTTTACATGTAAAGGCCTGATTTTGTTAGTACGTAAACAAAGAAAATTACCAAATAATCCGCACAGATTACAAATGCTTTTTTTTTTCTTAGAAAGATATGGTAGGTGTTTGTACCATCTAGCTCCGGATACGAACAATAATGATTGTGGTATGGTCTTGTCCAATGCCAGGACGGGCCGGAGTGAATGAATTTAGGCTGTGTCGTGGTTTCAGTAGCCACAGAAAAATTGGGATGCGTGAGCTGGGAAGTCTCTGAATTTTTCCACCTTTTAATCCTTCATGTTTATTTTTGTCGTTCCTTCGTTTTCTTCAGGGCGTACGCCGCCTCTGCTTTGTACTCCAAATTGCAGAGACAATCGGGGGCGGGTAAGTGCTGATTAGGTGAAGCGGGCGGCGAGTAGTAGAGCGTCGGATTAATAATAAAATCCAAACTGCGGAAATAAGTAAAACGTAAGGCAAATGAGTTTTACGTGGTATCCTCGTTCTTGATTTAAAACGAGACTAATCCACGGTGAGCTCTCAAGAGCATCACGGCTGAGACTATTATTATTCTTGATGGAATATTTGTTATAGAGAGATAGATGGCCGACTGCAAGCTACAGGCCTATATATATATATGTTGAGAAGACAACCCTAATCCCTTTCTCTATGAGTTACGTGAGATACAAGTAACATGAATAAGAGAGTGACATGAAATAGGGGACATCCGGACCAATGGATGAAAGATAGCTCACAATACTCCCCCTCAAGCGGAGGCATGGAGATCATACATGCCAAGCTTGGAAAGGAGATGCTGAAACGTATCAACACCAAGTCCCTTTGTAAAAAAATCCGCAGGCTGCTCAGTGGTGGAGATCTTTTGCGTTGCAATATCACGGGATTGAACTCGTTCACAAACAAAATGACAGTCCATCTCGACATGCTTAGTATACCATTTGGGGTGGTACTCAAATTTGCATCTTAACCCCCATTTTCATTTTTCGTGGAAGACTGGGTTAGCCGCAATATGTAAAGCTGCCTGATTGTCGCAAAAGAGTGGGGTCGAACCCTGCTGAGGTGCACCAAGTTCACTCAAAAGCCACCGAAGCCAAATAATCTCACTAACGGTGCTGACCATAGCGCGATATTCAGCCTCTGCAGAAGAACGAGCCACTACCGTCTGTTTCTTGGTGCGCCAAGACACAGGTGAGGCTCCCAAACGAATGAAGTAACCTGTAGTAGAGCGACGGGTGGTAGGACAACCACCCCAGTCGGCGTCGCAGTAACCTGTCAAGGTTAGAGAATTCTGCAAAGGGAAAAACAACCCACGACCGGGTGAGCTCTTCAAGTAACGAAGGATGCGATGAGCAGCATCGAGATGAGCTTGAGTGGGAGCATGAACCGCCTGGCTAAGCAGGTTGACCGAATAGGTGATGTCGGGCCGAGTGACAGTGAGATAGAGACGCCCAACAAGACGCCGAAAAGCAGAGGGATCAGGGACAGGAGGTGACGCAAGACGCCCAAGTTGGTGATTTTGTTCGATCGTTATGCACACGGACGAGTGGCAGGAAGACCCGAGTCGGCGAGAATGTCAAGAATATACTTGCACTGATTGAGTATGACGCCTTTGGGCGAACGAGCTACCTCTATCCCCAGAAAGTACTTGAGTGGGCCAAGGTCCTTGATGGTAAACTGAGAGTGGAGGCAGGACTTAACACGCTGAATAAAAGTCAAGTCATCACCAGCTAGGATGACATCGTCGACGTAGATAAGGGCCACCACATAGGAAGTCGAGGTGTGATAGATGAAGAGTGACGGATCGGTATGACTCTGACGAAAGCCAAGTTGTACCAGTGCGGCAGAGAACTTTTGGTACCAATTGCGAGAAGCTTGTTTCAAGCCATAGATTGACTTATGCAGCTTGCAAACTCGTGTGTCACCAGGCTTACCGAAGCCTTGAGGAACCTTCATGTATACTTCTTCATGGAGTTCACCATGCAGAAAAGCATTATTAACGTCCAGCTGGTGAATAAACCAGTTCTAGTGACAGCCACTGCAAGTAAACATCGGACAGTGACGAGCTTCACAATAGGTGCAAAAGTATCATGATAGTCAATGCCTTCTACCTGAGTAAAGCCCTTAGCAACGAGATGTGCTTTGTACCTCTCAATTGAGCCATCCGGCTTGTACTTGACCTTGAAGACCCACTTTGACTCAATGGCACGCTTACCGGGAGGAAGATAGGTGAGCGTCCAAGTATGATTAGCTTCCAATGTCGTGATCTCAGCTTGCATGGCAAGTCGCCAATGTTGGAAGCGAACTGCTTGATGGTAGTAGCGACGCTCAACGGTATTTGTGACGTTAGCAATGAAAGCACGGTGAGTTGGGGAGAGTCTATGATAACTCACGTGGTTGGCTATGGGATACAAGACATGATTACCCTATGATTGGTCTGGGAGCTGAACGTCATAGATGTCAAGGTCCTTGGGAGGCTGCCGCGTGAGATCGCTACGCCGTAAAGGAGGGGCAGCAGCTGGCGCCGCTGTAGTTGTGGGTGTCGAGGATCTAGGGGCGCCAGGAGAGCTGCTTCCGAAAGAGGAGAAGGAGCTGACAGCTCGGAGTCGGAATTGATGACGCTAGGAGTTGGACTTGAAGGAGAGTCATTGGCAGGTGTAGACTTGGGGCCAAACAATTCCTCATTATCATCAATAAGACGAGCAGGGACACCATCATCATGAGAGAATGGAAGACTATGTGAGCCAGCCAATGATGAATGGCTAGACAACGAAGACTCTTTGTAGGGAAAAATATGTTCAACAAAGACCACATCTCGTGAAGTATAGATCTGTTTCTTCTCGAGATCATAAATGTGATACCCTTTCTGAGTTGCAGGGTAGCCAATGAAGATGCAGGGGAGCCCTCGTGCCGCAAATTTGTCAAGGTGGTGCTGAGTGTCCTTGGCGTATACAAGGCAGCCAAGGGTACGCAGGTGATCATACCTGGGTGGCGAATCGAACAGCACTTGATATGGGCTCTTGTCGTGGAGAGGAGCAAGCAGCATCCGATTAATTAGATATGCAGCAGTCAACACACATTCGCCCCAAAAATGTAGAGGCAAGCCTGCATGGAATCGCAAAGCTCTAGCTGTGTCAAGGAGATGACGGTGTTTGCATTCCACCACCCCATTCTGTTGTGGCGTGTTGATACAAGAGGTTTGTAAAATGATTCCTTCCTTCTCGTAGTAGTCACGCAACTCTGGAGTAGTGAATTCACGCCCGTTATCTGTTTGAATCCGACGAACTGATTTCCCATACTGCGTTCGAGCCTGATTAAAGAAAAACCAACAAATAACGTGCTACTTCGGATTTATATTTCAACAAGAAGAACCAAACTGCACGACTAAAATCGTCCACAATAGTCAAGAAATAATGAGCTCCAGTAAAAGAAGTCTCATGGTAACCACCCCAAAGTTCCACATGAATAAGATCAAAACATGACGTAGTTTTAATCTGGCTATGCTCAAAAGGAAGACGAGTCTGCTTAGCCCGAAGACATGAATCACATGGGTCCTTGTTCAAAACTAAAGTACTAGAGATAAAAGGATGAAACGCCAACAACTTTGAATCAGCAGGATGACCGAGTCTGGAATGCCAACGTGCTGATGTGTTAATTGCTTCCCTTGCCGATAGCGCCACCAGATGACTACCATCCAAAACTTTGAGATAATATAGACCGTCACGGTACGTCCCCGTCCCAATCAGCCTCTTGGAGCACAAGTCCTGAATTACACAGAAGTTCTTTAAGAAGACTACGACAACAGAATGATCAGCAGTAAGTCGACTAACGGACAATAAGTTGCACTAAAAGTCTGGGACGTGTAAAACACGGCGTAGAACCAGTCTGTTAGATAACTGTGTGATTCCTATACCATGTACCGGAACCCCTTTGCCATTAGGGATCCTTACCTGCAATTGTGAGTCCGTTTTTATCTCGCCCACAAATAAAGAGTTGTCATTCACTATGTGCTCGTTGCAACCGGAATCAATAATCCAAGGACTCATAGTGGGTGATTGAGAATGAAACGATTGCGTACCTGACATATTCACTGCCATGCTTGCGGCAGGTTGAGTGTCGGCTTCGAGGAAGTCACGAAGTTGTGCGACTTGGGCAGCAGAGAGACCTGGGATGGAGCTGGGTTCACTTTCAGCCACAGCAGCTTGCGGATCACGGCCAGACTTCCCACAAATGGGGCCTGTCACCTGGCTGTCGTGTTGGCCAGCCATGGATTTCATGACACGTGGCCTTGAAATGGCCCGGTTTTTGACAGTGAGTACAATATGGACGTCCCTCATCAGTGCGCTCACGCCCTTCAGTATGAGATTCCTCAGGTCGACCTTGCTCCCCCTTGCCCTGAAAGGCGGCAGCTTCGATGCGAGGTCGGGAGTCAATGAGAAGACGCTGTTGTTCTTCATTAGCCACCATGTGGTACGCTTCACCGAGACTGGGAGCTGACTTCATAGAAAGAAGTTGTGTGCGAACAACCAAAAAACCATCGTCGAGCCCTAGAAGAAAGTCCAAGAAGCGCATGTCCTCCTGGGAAGCTCGTGTGCGGCATTCCACATCACACTCACACTTGCCACGTGTACACTTTGCTGGCGGATCGAGTGTGAACCAATCATCCCATAGCATCTTCAATTTTGCATAGAATGAGCCGACATTCAGCTTATCTTGGCGGAGTGTGGTGATTTCTTGACGAAGCTTGTATCGGCGAGGGAGATTCCCGGTGGTGAAGCGTTCTTTTAGCTCATCCCATATTTCCTTCGCTGTGAAACTCGTGCTTAGACTGCTGCGAATTTCACGGCTCATGGTGCTGCGCAACCACCCAACGACCATGGCGTTGCAACGCGTCCAGGCAGCGAGTAATTCTCCAGACGCGGGTCGCGGAACAGTTCCAAGAACAAAGTCCAGCTTGTTTTTGGCAAGGAAAGCATTAGATATTTCGGCAGACCACTCATCGTAATTGAGGTCAATGAGTAAATCCCCGACGAAAACCTGCTGGGGGCGTCGGAAGGATGCAGGAAGAGAGGGGATGATGGGAGAATCACGTCCGGCTGCATGGTCTCGACGGCCTTCTTGTTTTCCTTGTCTGATGATGATTCGTCGCCCATGATTCCCGTCGACGAGGAGAGAAGTCGACAGCTGAGCTAAACGCAAACAGAAGACGCAAACCCTAGCAGACCGAGGCTTGCTCTGATACCATAATAAAATCCAAACTGCGGAAATAAGTAAAGAAATTATATATATTGAAAGACAAGCACATATATAATATTTGCATTTTTTTTACAACTTCCTTATTCAAAGCACGTGACCGTACGAAATGGGAATTAGATTGAGAGTTGATAGAAACTTATTTCTAGGGTTCCTATCTGAGCGGGATTGAAAATGGGGGTTTATTGATATTTGGGAATAGAGAATGAGAATTAGGGATTAGAGTAGAGATTTGAGGAAGAACTTGAGAGGAAGAGGAAGAAAGAACGGTCGGCAGTCAATTAGGACAGGAAGAGAGGTTTAGGGATTTGGGTGAGATAACTTTCCTATTAATTTCTACTTAATTGAACGAAAGACGCAAAGTACATATTTATAGCTAATGATTGGAAAAACATAATAGACTATCCTAATACGATTTAAAGACTACTAATCATATCTAATAAAATCATAATAATAGTAATTATGACATTACCCAAAAATTAGGTTTCTATCAAGAGTATATTGTATTCTCAGTCCCGCTCCAAAGCATTCGGCCATATCAATGCTATTTTGTTCAGCTGGAAGTGTCCAGTCAAAATGGAAAAGCAAATTTGCTAGAGTAAGTTTCGCGTTCGCCATTCCGAAAGACATTCCCGGACACATCCTTCTTCCAACACCAAATGGAATGAATTGAAAATCAGATTCCCTTATAATCAATCGAGCAGTCCATAAATCTCTGAGGGGAGAATCTCTCGGCCTCTGTCCAGTAACGAGTATCTCGATTGATTGCCCAGACATTCACGATGACATTAGTGTTGATACGGACCTCATATGAACTGAGTTCCAACTTCTGATCTCTATTTTCTCTTGGAAGAAGCAAAAGACCTGGTGAGTGTAATTGTAAACTCTCAGAGGTTACCATATCAAAATAATTCATTTGATCAAGGCTTGCTTTGTCGAAATGAGTTTTGCCATCATCACCAAATACTTTTATATATATATGGTGACTACTTCAGTGCACTCACAAAAATGAGTGTGTTCAATGCACCCAATTCAAAAACTAGTCTTAAGGTGTCGGATTTTGAATTTTAATTTGTAGAATTAGTGTAATATGATGATATAACATATGATAACAACTAATTAGCGAATGCCCTAAGCCCTAGACCTCCAATTTTGAGTTCTATCCCTAAATCCCAAATTGTAAACCCTAAATCTCTAAACTCTAAATCCTTCAAATTAAAGTAAATATTTAATGATTTTTGTGCAAATTCATATGAGTTATTGTTCATCACATCATAAGTGATGATTGACATCATTTTGACATAGCCCGCATGTTTAAAATGACGGTTATGAAGCGGGTGCACCCAAAAAAGTGAGTGCACCGAAGACACCACCATACATATGTGTATATATGTATATATATATACACGAAGCAAGTAAAAGCTTACCCGAAATTGAAGCCAGGGATGATGGTTCCTCCTCTAGGTGAAAATGAAGCTAATGGCGACGTCTCGTTATCCAACATCTCTCCGCTCTCGTTCTTAGAGAAGATAAATCAATTGAGGTAATTTTAGATCATTCCAAAATCAAGTACCGAAATGATGATCGAAGCTTTTGGTTCAATCATTTCAAAATCAAGTACTGAAATGCTGCAATTTTCTGGCAGCAAGAAAAAAGGGAATCACTCTGCTGGGTATATATGCTATGAATAATGTAGCAACAAGATCAGCAAGTATCGATGGTTTGGTCATGACAGATTTTGAAGTCGTTTGATTGTGGTCATGCTTTGGTTGGTTTCTTAACTATTAGATAATTTTATACCAATCAATTATGTTAGTAACAATTTATTGTATTTTTTTGGGTTAATATTCTCGTATGGCCTGAACTTTGACTTAAATAAACATCCTGGCCAATCTTTTCGATCTATAACATCCTGGCCCGAACTATACACCAAAATAAACAATTTGGCCAGATCCGACTTTTGACCGTTAACTTGGATGTTCAAACGCGTTGACCGTTAGTCAACGCGCCATGTCACTGCCAAGTCAGCATAAAATATTTAAAATAATTCACAATTTCCACACATTCCCTAATTTTAAATTATTATAAATTAAAAAAATCATCTAATACCTTAGTTAAACCAAAAATAAAAAAACGAAAAAAAATTAAATATTTATCATATCTTTTGACTTGGCAGTGACGTGGCGCGTTTGAACGTCCAAGTTAACGATCAAACATCGGGTTTGGCCAAATTGTTTATTTTGGTGTATAATTTGGGCCAGGATGTTATAGATCGAAAAGATTGGCCAGGATGTTTATTTTGGTCAAAGTTCAGGTCATACGAAAATATTAACCCTATTTTTTTCCATACAAGTGTATCCATTTTGCATATCTTGAATATATGTGATTCAATAGTTTATCTTTTGAATATAAAAGGTTGAATGGACAAAGGATGACTTGATCCAGCCACCAAAGTAGTTAGTTCTGATGCTATGAAGTAAGATCACTATGCTACATTACTTCTTTTATCAGTTTAAGTGTTTTATATCGGATATGCTTTTTCAGTATTACATCAAAGTTATATGATGACAATGATAGTTTCAAGAGATTGAAGGTAATATTCACATGGTTTCTCATGCCAACTAATTTTTCTTTTGCCAGTTAATTACTGTATTTAGATTAACCTTTTGAGTATTACATCCAAGTTATATGATGCACTGATGCTTCCATATTGAAGTTACAGTATGCATATTTCTCTTATACCAACTAATTTAAAAAAGTTCTGCAACTTGCGGCTCTGATGGTAGCTTGGGTTTCTAGGCTTTAAATGCCTTGAAATCTTGATGCAAGTCTTTGGATGCATTTCTCAGGAGCTGTGTTTACAGAGTTGAAGTTTGTTTTCAACAATATAATTGTGCGTTGAAGTTTGTTTTCAACAATAAAAACCAGCAGAGAAAGCACTTTCTCCATCAATTACTTCACTATGTATTGTATGAGAATTCTACTAGATACTTCGCAATCAAACAAACATGTAGCTTCCTTTCCACGTATTTCTATAGTTCTCTTTGTTTTCTTGATTGTGTTCCTTGAAATGAATGGTAATATGATTTCTTAACATTTAGGGGTCGTTTGGATGGATCAATCTAGAAATGAGTCAATTTGATCAATTGTCTCGTTTTATAAACGAGGCAATTAAAACGAGTCAATTCAAATTACCTGCCCCCACCACAGGTAATTGAAATTGACTCAAAACGGATCAATTCAAAATACCTCAGACAGATTGACCCATCCAAAAATTTTGCTGACAAACGAGGCAATTTGGTACAATTGTCTCAAAACGAGGCAATTTGGTACAATTGTCTCAAAACGAGGCAATTTGGTACAATTGTCTCAAAATTGATCCGTTAGGCAAAATACACTTTCATAGCCATAACTATTCGTGGTGTGATAATAATAGTCATTTTTAAAAAAATACACAAATATAGCCACTTTTTCAAACTTGCTTGACAATAATAGTCATTTTCGTTATAAACTTTAACGTCATGACAGATGCCGTTAACCGTTAATAACCTCTACGTGGCGGTAAGGTGGATGCCACTTGGACGACACGACACGTCATCTTCAAAGAGACTCTCCCTACCACGTCTATGTCATGTCATATTTTAAATCAAAAGGAAATACAAAATATTTTATCTCCTTTGTCCTCTAGAGTGCGGACCGAGTCGACTCCCACCGTTGGATTTATCTTCATCCAATCGTCATTCGACGCCATTATCGCCGCCGCCACTATCGTCCCCACCACCCCTTCTGATGACCTCGCAACCGCTCAACTTCACCGGTTTTGCTGCTCTCTGCCTCTGTTTCAATCGACGAGAAAAACAAAGAGGGTTCTCCCCACTACGCCATTTCCTTTCCCCATCGGTGCTCCTGGTTTTCTGGCCGGATTCCTGGGATAAAGCCTTCTCAATTCTCTACCCCCTTCTGCCGCAGAACCCATCATTTGAAGCTTTTCTACAATTATAAATCCAGATGCAACACAATAGCTGCAACCCACCTCAAGAGAAGTTGGGTCTTGTCGAGTTCCTGACATCCCCTTCTCCAATCAATTCGCATCGGAGACGTCGAAGTGGGATTGCACAGAGAATAATTTCAGATTCGTCAATGTATCTCGGCTTTTTGTACAATAGCTCAGGGCTCAAAGCCAATGGGTACTTGTTCATGGTGCAGAGCTGTTGGGCGCTAGCGGAAAAGTAGCGGGTTTTAGGATCGAAATTTCAGAGGATTTTATTACACTCGAATATTTTTACAAGTGTTCACTCTCACACTTTAGGCAATATTGTCATAAACCTCACCAAGAGCTTATGCTCTTCTACTCTCTCAATGCTTTTTTTCTTCACTCTCTGATTGTCCTTACCAGCCTCAATTGGGCTGAATTTATACAACAAATCCACCGCCATTACCTACCCAAATATCATGATTTTTTAGTGTATGTCGGCTACATGTATGGCTGTAATTTTTTTAGGGTAAATACAATTTAATATCCAAACCTTTTATTTTAAACAATATAATATCCAAACTTTTTCGAAAACAATCTAATATCCAAATCGTTAACTTTCTGTCTGTTTGACCGTTAGTTGACACTTCAAAAAAGTTCGAAGTACAACACTTTATCAATATCCATCGATATCTTCTCTAAGAAACCACCAACATATCGTAGTTTCGAACCCGAGAAGTCCATGACTCCACCATGATGGTATAGAATATCTAAATATCCAGCCATTTGCAATGCCAAAACAAGAAAACAAAGTTGTATTGTGACAATTTCCCCTAAACAAAGCTTTTTGAAGTGTCAACTAACGGTTAAACGAACGGAAAGTTGACGATTTGGATATTAGATTGTTTTCGAAAAGGTTTGGCTATTATATTGTTTAAAATGAAAGGTTTGGATATTAAATTGTATTTAGCCATTTTTTTAACTATTTTAATTGCTTACATTTTCTACAAAGACTGCAACCGCCTTTGACTTCTAATTGCTGCATATTCTTCACATGCTTCTCTAGAAGAATTGATTCTAGAGACTTGTAGACTTATGTAGAGAAGACTAGAGAATTGCCGGATTATATTTTCATCACCCCCTCTTAATCCGCAATTCGTAGTTGTTCCTTGAACTTCTCGAATTTTTCTCGAGTGACCATTTTCTTCATAATGTCCGCTGGCTGATCCTCGGTGTTGATGAACTCAATTGCAATTTCTCCGCTGTTGACGAGATCTCGTATAAAGTGATGTCGTAGCTCAATATGTTTCGACCTTGCGTGAAACACCGGGTTCTTCGTCATTGCTATTGCGGACATGTTGTCGCAATGGATTATAGTGGGATCATTATCACCTTGTTGTAGATCAGTGATTAGTCTCTTCATCCAGACTGCTTCACATGCTGCATCAGTGGTTGCGATATACTCAGCTTCAGCTGATGATAAGGCGACGGTCCTCTGCTTCTTTGTGCTCCATGAAATTGGTTTTGAACCAAGGCAGAAAATATATCCTGATGTGCTTTTGCGATCGTCAAGCGATCCAGCCCAGTCGCTGTCTGTATAACCTTTCAGCTTATTATCTCCTTCCTTTTGGTATTTCAGGCCTAATTTTTTAGTGCCTTGAAGATACCGTAAAATTCTCTTCGCTGCTGCGTAGTGTAGTTTACTTGGCTCACTCATAAACCTTGATACGATACTTACTGCGTGACAAATATCAGGCCTCGTGTGAGTCAAGTATATCAGTGATCCGACCAGGCTTCTGTAAAGCTTGCCATCTGCCTTCTCAGCTCCATCATCCAGCTGCAATTTCTCATTCACTGCCATGGGGGTTGAAATCGGCTTGCAGTTAGCCATGTGGAACCTCTTCAGTATATCTTCAGCATATTTCTCCTGTGAGATAAATATC